ACTACTGGCGAATATGTCTCCTTATAGTCTATACCAGGTTCTTGCGAGTAACCTTTGGCCACTAATCGTGCTTTAAATACTGGTTTTTGATTTAGTATTCATTTAATTTTAAACACCCATTTGCAGCCTACAATATTTTTATCACAGGGTTTTTCGACCAAATCCCAAGTATGATTAAGCTCAAGGGAGCTTATTTCCTCGTTTATAGCCACTTTCCAGTTTTCTGCATATTCCGAATTCACCGCGTCATCATATGAATCCGGTTCTGGGATAGCTGCAAAACAGCCCATGTAATCGTAACCAAAACGTTGAGGGGGTACAACTTCTTTCCGTAGGCCATACCGCTTGTGCTCTCTTGCGTCAATACTTGAATCAGTAGATGCAGAATTGGTAGGTGTAGTCGACGCGTCGGTTGTTGATGCTTCCGTTTTCATCGAAGCCTTTGGTGTGCTAGATATATGCTGTCGAAAAGGTGAAAAAACGTTTTCATCTTGTTGTTGTTCATGGCTAAGATTGTTTGTTTCTTCGTCGTCCTCATCGTGAAAAGGTCCAACTCCTATTAGCTTTTCGTTGAAAACGACGTTGCAGCTAATAACTACCTTAGCTGTCTCTTGATCGTACAGACGAAAATTTTTTGACGAAGGTTCATAACCAACTAAGAACATCTTCTTTGCTTTGGCGTCCCACTTTTTTCTTCCGAGCTGTTTGGGAAGGTAGACCATGCATTCGGTGCCAAAAACCTTCAAGTGACTCAAATCTGGCTTTCTACCAAACCAGCTTTCGAATGGCGTTTTTAACCGATTTGCCAATGCTGATCGATTAAGAATATATACTGCCGTTCTTACGGCTTCAGGCCACAAAGTTTTGTTTAAACCGCTTGCCAGCAACATGGTATTCATGGATTCTTGAACGGTCCTATTTTCCCTTTCGATGAAACCGTTTTGCTCCGGGGTGTACGGCGAGATCCTCTCCAGAACAATACCATTGTTCGCCAGCAGCTCGGCGACGTCTTTATTCATAAACTCCGTGCCGTTGTCGCACCGAATATATTTCACAGTTTCGCCAGTCATGTTGCGTACCATAGAAATGAAACATTTCAGTTTTTGGAGCACTTCAGATTTATTAGATAAAAAATAAACATACCTGAAACATGTGCTTTCATCCTTAAGCAACATGAAATAGCGAACTCCACCAACACCAGGCTCAGGCATAGGGCCGCATAAATCCATGTGAAAGTCCTCGCATTTATTTGCTTTGCGCTTTTCTGCAGCTCCATGTGATGACCGATGCATTTTTCCTCGCTTGCAATCTTCACAAAAGAAATCGCTTTTGTCCGTCACATTAATACCATCAGCTAAATGTTTATTA